CATTTTGACTGGGCCGCCAGGACTGACAAATTTGGTCTCTGGAGCATTTTGACTGGGCCGCCAGGACTGAAATCAAGCAAATTTGGTCTCTGGAGCATTTTGACTGGGCCGCCAGGACTTTGAGCATGTCCGTTATGATAAAGGCCATAGTCATAGCCATATGCAAGAGTCGCGAGAACCGTAAAGACATAATACTCCTTGGGCAATGCGACGTTCCGGACACTATTTTGTGATCTAGGCCATAGCTAGATTTCATGTTCGGCAAAACGGTGACCATGAACTTGTGATGGTAGCGACAAGCTTGGCGGCCGTCGTAGACGAAGTATTGCCACTTCCCCCAGTTCCACTACTTGGAGGTTCATGGGTACCTATAAGTGGGGTTATAAGTAAGGTAACTATCCATATTAGGAGACTTATAACCCCACTTATAACTACCCATGAACCTCCAAGTAGACTTCCCAGCCCTCCAGCAACCCTGACCTCGACCTCAGAGCCGAACCTCAACGGCTTTAGAACTTCAGGGCTTTATGGGTGGTTTTATTGAGTTCGAGGGCTTTCGGTGTCTGTCTGTCTGTCGGTCGGTCGGTCTGTCGGTCGGTTTGTCTGTCTGTCTGTCGGTCGGTCGGTCTGTCTGTCTGTCTGTCTGTCTGTGTATCTGTGTGTCTGTGTCTGTGTGTCTCTGTGTGTGTGTTTGTTTGTTTGTTTGTTTGTTTGTTTGTTTGTTTGTGTTCGTTCGTGTGAGAGTGTGAGTGAGTGCGTGCATGCACGTGTGTGCATGTGTGTGTATGTGTGTGTTTGTTAGTTTTTTTGTTTGTTTGTTGGTTGGCTGCCTATCATAGGCAGCATCAGGATTGGCCAGCAGCACGTTTGGGGATTTGGGGATATTTGGGGGTTTAGGGTTTGGGGATTTGGGATTTAGGGGGATTCAGGGTTTGGGGATTAGGGTTTAGGGGGATTTGGCTCAGGGGTTCGAGGTTCAGGGTGTAGGTTCCAGGGTTCAGGGTTTAGGGTGGTGGATGTAGAAGCTCACGTGCATGACTGCAGCATCATGCATCAGAATCAGTCATGGACCAGTGACAGCGTCCACAGTCAGAGGCATAAGCACAGTCGCCGACATCCATAACGATAGGCTGAGCTTCCACGGCACCATGCCCCATGGCAAAAAGAACAAGGCCCGAGTGAAGCACCACCAAGAGAAGAAGCCTGGGCGACTGGAGCGCACGAGAGCGCACCGTGACAAGGCCGGCGTGGGCTTCACGCACGTTCTTCCAAAGCCCTTGCCTCAAATGCACTGCCCCAGTGTTTAACCGAAGCCCCTGTGCCAGGTGGCGGCGCAGCAGGCGCTCCAGGACAGCAAGATCGAGCGCGCGAAGGCTGCCGCTGACCGTGCTGTGGCTGAGAGCTATGCGATGCATCTGGTTTCTTGGTGTAGTTGGCAGCGGGAGATTGAGGCACTACTCCAAGAGTTTCGCAATGCCTCCGAAAGACGCCGGGGGAACTCGGATGAGGATGACAATCTTCGGCATGACGACCGCGGTGACGCGATTGGCCAAGGCTGGGCAGATGGTGCAGGCTGCTGCTTTCCGGAAGGGGCTGGGCACGATCCTATGTCATTGGCTGATCCGTTTCCTGGCCACAGGTAAGCACACAACTGTTTGTTCCGTTTGTATCTTGGCCTGAGCCGAACTTGAATGCAACACCTCATTATGGAACCACTTTGCAAGGCAAGCCTCAGTTGCGCGTGCATGTGGTGAGCCACCTTGGTATGCTGCAGCCCCTTATGTTGGCGTCGGACAGCAGCTGGAAGGGTCTCAAGGTAGCCGTCATCCAGCTGACAAGGGACCGGAGGGGCTAAGAACTCAGGTTTCGGTTAATTGGATTTGCCGGTCCGTCGATGAGCCCCTAGCAGGCAAAAGATTCAGTGCTGGCATCCAACGCGGCATCGGTTGTCAATACCTGGATCCAGCATGGTGTGCTTGCGAGAAATGACGCAGAAATTGTGCCCAAGCTAATTTTATGTTTACCTTTGAGGTTGTATATATTATAGGATTTGAGGGTTTGGGCTTAGTTGACCCTTTGTCTCCAGTGCTGACTGCCACAGCTGCATCCATCTCAGGAGCGCGCAGCTGCTGAGCTGGCAACCGCGGGTCGCCAAGCGCGCCAAGAGCGCGCAGCTGCTGAGCACCCGAAGTCATCACCGAAGCGGGCATCAGCGAAGCCGAAGGCCAAGCGAGTCACTGCCAAAGCAAAGGCGAAGCAGAAGGCAGCTGCAATAGCCAAGCGTGGGTCTAGCTCTTCCCCGTCATCCAGCTCCTCATCGTCGAGCTCGTCAACCAGTTGACATGGGGCATTTGCGAGAGCAAAAGGGCCTCTGGGGGGAGAGCGCGCTTTGTTGTATTACTATTCTTTTCTTTTTGTGCCATTATTCCGCGCCCTCTATATGTGCATATGTATGATACTGTACGAACCAAGAAGACATCATTTTCGATACAGGCTCCCACACATTCCTAAACCAGGTGTAAGTGACGTTGGCCTGAGGAGTTGAGGGTTCAGGGTGCAGGGTTTAGGGATTTAGCTGCATCTGGCGGAAACACAGTTGAAACCCAAAACTGCACGGAAACGCACACACAAAACAAATGGACACAGTTTGCCGCTTGGATGGATGGTATACAGCCACCGCTTGTCTTTCAATCCCAACGAGGGAGTTCCCTCGTTCGGATTGAGAACACGCGGTTCCTGAAAACGGACTGCCTGCGTGAGCCCCTGGGTTCTTCTTAGGCCGCCAAGGCCAGGGTCGGACATGCTTCGTGCTGAATTGATCCAGGAGGGCCCTAGGAACATCGTGGGGCTCTTGTATATAAAGGGGATATCGGATACAGCATGAAATTTCGTTATTATCTCAGCTTGTATGTGGCTACATCTCCCGTCGATAAGGCTTTGGCCTAGAATAGAAGTGCTGGTGTCCCCGTGTGGCACAAGGACAACAGTACGAGCGAGCCGTGTGCAAGCTTAGGGGTGACGTCCGAGCAAACACAGCCGACGCTGTCCTGTCCTCCTGACTTGGGGCAGGGACAAAACGTTGCGAGGACGGGTGAGGAGCCGCGAATTGGAGGGTGAAGCATGGGAAAGAGTGGAAATAGCTCCACACCTGTAAAAAACATCCTCCATGTAAATCAGGGCTGTGTAGGTCAGCATAATAAGACCTACTTGTTGTCCAGCGCTTCCCCCAAGTTTACGATCAGTAGCAGCATCATGCCGGCGCAAATAAGTTGAATAAATCGGGCAGGATTTGGCCAGCATCCAAGCTACAGCTTTTGCTTATGCATTCCTACGTCGTGTCCGTAAGATCGATACTTCTTACGGACACGAAGTACAAGAGAAAGCACGGACATTCGTTGCACAGGGATCCCGGCAGCGGGACCGCAGCATCGTAGGAACGATTGCGCTTGCGAAGATGTTCATTTTACCCTTAGTCGTCTCCGAATGCAGTCTCAACCTTGGCTCTACGATGCCCATCTGAAGGGTTGGCATGCTCTTCACAAGCGTGTCCTATCCGACTTCTGCATAGTTCTTCTGTATGATATTGTTGAGAGCGGTCGCATGCAAGGCATCATGTCTTGTGTCTTTGGGTGAGTGCTGCAGCCAGTAGTGCTGCGGATTTGTCTGGCCCTCAGTTTCCTTTCTTCTTCAGGGTACCCGGCAGTTGCAATAGGCCTGGATGCAAAAAAAATCTTTCACACCGTGCATGGGACACAAATCGTGCGGTCATTCTGGGAGGCTCGACGGCGAACAACCCAGGTGTGTACAGTGGGAGTAAAGTGGTCACTGTTGTAGCGGTAAAGGAAGCCCAAAAAGAAAGAAGAGCCTTCAGGGTAGCAGGCATTGGATTAATTGGTTTGATGCAGGCGCTCATTCAGTGCCATTTGCCGGAGATGAAGGAATTTAGGAATTTTAAGTTCTTGCGATGTGCAGCTCAAACTGTTTGCAGCCAAGCGCAATCAAGACGGACACCACCGTCTGACAAAGGCGGCGCAACGGGCAGCAGACATGCAGCACCAGCACTGCGCGTGCTGGGTATAGGTTGGCCGCGGACGCTGGAAAATGAATCCAAGACGCACACATCTACGAGCTTGCTACGACGATGGACAACTTAGAACAACAATGAGCGCAACATTCGGCGTTTCTGTGTCGTCGGTCACTGTACCAAGCGTCACTCAGGCCAGTAGGGATGGGCTTCCGAGCGTTGTGGACGCATCGGCACAGTCCTTGACGCCATCCGACCCGGGTGCATGGTGGCTTCATGCATGCGCTTCGGACGCACTTGTGTGGCTGCCGGCGCCTGGCCGCCCGTGCTTTGGCACAACTCGTTGCCGAACCTTTTGTACAAGCTCTTCCACACGGCTTGCAAGATGGCGAAACGATTTTCGATAGTGTTGGAAAACACATATGTCGCCTCTGGAGGAGGAAGCAAATTGGTGGCATGTGTACATACGGTGCACGCTGGCACAAAGCTGCGCCCTCGGACTAAAGTTGGCAAAAAACCTAGTGGCATTGCCGATGGGTGCTCTGTCCTTGCCGCATGATCAACGCAGGCTACGACCCGCGAAGCCGGCACCTGTTGTCTGTTGTCGCGTGGTGACTGTTGTAGTACCAGTGGACCGGATTGTGTAGAGCGATTCTGGTTGAAGCAGCTTTGCCGACCATGTTGTACAGGACTGTACAGGTCATGTCGATGTGTTTTGCGTTTCGTGGCTCCAGCGCGGGACGCACCCTGTTTGGGATGCGCAGCGCGGAATTTTGGATGCACTTCAAAGCTGTCCAGAAGTTTGGACTGTCCCGAGCGTTTTGCAACGTGCCACATTCCTACAGAATGCTTTGACAGATTCAGGAGAATGGGCGCTGGTTTTGCCACGTGCTGCAACTCGACCTCGGACGCTCATCTGTCGTTATTCCGAGCACAGAACAGACGGTATTGGTGAGCGTTTGGCAGGCAAGGGTTTCGCATGTGTGTCCTTGTCGCAGGAATCGGCTGAGTTCAAGGTCAACTCGTCTGCTTTGGGGACGCTCTTCTGCAAGTGACTGTTGGCACGCGTTGTGGGTATTCCGCACTTCTTGCTGGGGTCGTCGGACCTCCAAGAGCCACGGCACAGACCGACTGGTCCAGGCACGATGTGAATCAGAGAAAAAAATAGACTGAGGGGTGATGGCGTCTCATCGTCGTGCCTCGGCTGTCATTGCCGTCCTTTTGCTGATTTCCAGATTCACAGACGATTTTGGCCAAGGATGGTTGTTGTGGATGCCCTCGTCTCATCTGTGCCGCACAGTTTGAGAGCCAACAAATCTGCAGCAAAGACAGCTGAGGCGAAGGAATTCGGTGCTCGGTATAATGCAAGATCCACAGCTAGAAGGATGCAGAGATCACCGACAAAGGCTGGCAGTGGTCTGTGTTGAAGAGATACAGTGTGGGTGTAGAGTCAGGATTGCTCACATGCAGGTCCAAGAGAAGAGTGCAGTCACTGATCTTCCGATTTGCCCACTGCATGGAGTGACCTTGGCATTCATGGAGGCTCCTTGGGAAGACATGGCAGCACATCTTCGAATCATGACATGCCAGACGATTTCGTAATACCCTGTCGTCTTATCCTGAGGGCAGTGTGTCGCATGTGCATGCAACCGCCTTTCAAGGAGTTTGGCGACACACACAAGTCCAAGGCACCCAGCATGCGATTCACTGCATCTGATTTGTCGGACGCCTTCGTGGCTGAAGGTCAGCCAGGAAAACTTTTCCATAGGCCAGCTGCCGTTGAGGATAGCAGCTGCTTGCAAGACCTGCTATGCTCCAGTATTGACAGGTGGATTGTGCTTCCACATCATCAAGCCACTGACCATGTTCAAGGGCGGCAAGCATCTACGCTGCAGATCGTGATGGGTGAATCGGTCGTTGGCCCCGCCCGTGTTTTCATCCTTCTGCACTGTGCTCCAAATCGCTTTCGCTCTTGCACTTTGTGCATCTCGTTTGGCACCATCGGTGTTCCGGGCAATTGTGGTGACATAGCGAAGGGCTTGCCTCGTCTATGGTTATATAAGGGGACACGGCTTGTGTGCAAGCATCTTCATTGATGAACGCATCCCGGGATGGTAGCCCTGACCGCATGAACGAACCGTCGGCTATTCTTGCAGTTCTCGCTCATATCCCAGAAAGCTGCTGCCATAGCCGCTGAGTCTTGTGAGTGTTGGTACACATGCCTGAACTTTTGAACCTGAGACATCCTGAGCAGAACTGGGCTGTAAACGCTCGCAAGCGCTGGCATTCACGATTCGGAATCTCAGGTTGTGTATGTCTGTGGAGGAAGCCGATGAGCTGCTGTCTTACGCCGAGGCAAAATCACGTTAACGAGATGAGCTGGCTTGGTTTTCCGACCACAGCTCAGCTCTGCAGTGCTTTGCAGGTCGGCTTCCGGCAGGACTTGAAGGACAAGAAGAAGCAGTCCTGCTTCATCACGATGGCCGCTCCACTGAAAGTGTCCGACGAATGGAGCAGCCTTCCATTTTCTAGGCAGATTCGGCCCAGGCACATCACTTTGTCTCGCATGCTTGGAGGCCGCTGTGAATTTGTCTGCTGCGAAATCCGAGCTTGGCGGCTGTCAGTGACATGTGCAGGTATAACTACTCCACTTTTTTGGATGCACTTCAAACTTGGGATTCACGGAAAGGCGCGCAACATGTCAGGTGCGTGTATGCATGCCCAGAGTACAACTTTCTTCATCAGGCGGTGGCGTCACGACATACTTTTGGGTGGACGCTTTCGTTTGGAACCAAGATTGTCATAAGGCACTGCAGCCAGTGCAAATCATGTACCTATGCTTCCAAGAGGTGGTCAACCAGCACATTGCTGATTCTTATCCAATGGAATGGTGGTCTACACGGTTCGCCCAAGCTGTTGGCCGCCTGCTGGCAGTCAGTCAAGCTGGGGCTCAGCAACTGTTACCCGTCGGTCAGAGCTGTGAGGAATCTTGCAAGTATTAATTTTACAATCTCGGATTCTCGGTGCTGCGCATGCCGACCCCTGGAGCACAGTGAAGGTGATGTTGGGAGCACCATCCTTGTCTCCATGCCCTGGGAGGCGTCCATCGTTCGACATTTTTGTTGTTGCAGCACATTCAGTGGTCGCTTTAGCGTCGCGTCTCGAAAGAAGGACCCCACTCCGTTGAAGCGAGTCTGGGTCATCTGGGAGATCTTCTGCGCATACCAGACGGGCGCCCGATTCGACATTGCCATGTCTCTCAGACGCAACTATGCAGGGGCATCACCTGTACCACAGTTTATGATGCGGTGTCTCACTGTATTAGCACAGTGCCATCGGTGTCAGTGGCAGTAGTCTGCCGGAGCTCCATGCTGCCGAGTGGGCAAGCTGCTCCTCTCTGAGGCCCAAGAAGGAACTGGATGGTTTCAGGGCGGTGCCTTGTCAGGTTCAAGAACGCATGGGTGACGAATATATTATGACACCCAAGGTCCAAGGAATGGTGTACTCCGTTTCGCCCTCTTCACTCGCCCAGGCGCTGATTACATCCTTCCCCAAAGTGCAGACCGCTTTGAGCAAAGTGGATGTGGAGCTTAGCAGTGCTTTCCACAAAAGCCACCAGGCAAGGCAGTGCTTCAATGCCTTGGTGTGCGTACGTGTGTGGGCACAGCTGCATGAGCAGGACATGGTTCATGACGAGATCAGGCGAACAATAGGCATCTCAAGCCTTTCAATCTGCAATTGGTCGGCAGAAGCATGACTGCAACTTATTCAGGATTCACAAAGCTGAACGAAATGGTTCAGCTGCGCATGACACGTTGGCTTATTGGCATGGCCACCAGTGAGCCTGACCCTCTGAGCCGCGCTTAGTAGGTCAGCATGAGTTAGATGACACCCGACATGGGCAAGGTTGCAGAGCATGAAGGAGAATGCAACTTCCGCAAACTGGAAGGATCGCATGGGCCTGCAGGACCAATCCTGAGCGCAGCGGTGCAGTGTGTGGCCCAGCAGATCTGCACGTGTACACTCAGGACAATCTAGCACGTATGCTCCGAGAAAGCGGAAATTTTTCGGGCGCCGAATTTTACTTCAAGGACAGACATAATTCTACACTGGTCAAATGTTAAAGGCAAAGCCTTCCCAGTCTCAAGCTGCAGGAGCTTTTGGTAGAGGTCGAGCAAAAGCAAGGGAAAGATCATGCCTGGGCCCTATTGAAGAAAGTGTGCACGCCCAGAGTCTTATTTGCAGGGCTGATGATTCGACCTAGACAGGTTCACCATTTTTTACCTGAGCAGTTGTCCAACGATGCCTGTTGTCCTGCAACGGGACGCTGATTTTCGACCTGACATGGCCTGATCAGCCAGACAGAGGCAAACTCAAGAACCTCATCCTGAGTGGTTTTTTTGTTAGAATAGAGTTTGTGGTTGCAATTTTTTGTTCAGTCCACTCGCCGTCATTTAGACAACCCCTTCCCGCCGGTTTGTATTATCATCTTCTTCCTATGGTCGATCGTCCCATTGTAGGTCCTGCAGCCGCCGACGTCGATTATGTCGATTTTTGTCTGATCTTTCTCGATGTTCGTCTGCATTGCCATTTAAAGATTTATCACCTCAAATCAAGGCCAGCAGCAAACAACCGGAATCATGGCAGTACCAATTACCGGCATTGGTAAGATGGCCGCCGACGATTACCACGAAACACGACCAGAGACTCCAACTGTCTCCAACTGGGCTCTGGCTCCCATACTTGTACTCGAATACACGTACTACAGCATGGCTTATCAGACAACGCATTCGCAGAGTCTTCGGTTTAAACTTCCGGACCACACCGACAGATCACCACACAGCATCGCAACATGCAACGTCGGATTCGGATTCGACAATAAAAATTTGGTGGGGTTAGTGGCTCCGGCATGGAATGTTGGGTCATCCTACTGGCTATTGTACGGCACCGTCGTGAGCGAAGCAAACATGATCGTCGTGAAACGGAGGAGTTTTCATCACGGAGCTCCTCTCGCTGACGTGAGCTCATGGCTGCATGCAACAGCACTGAAAAGAACAACGACAGCAACAACAACAACATCAGCAACAGCAACAACAACAACACCAACAAAGACACGCACAAGTATTTCGTGAGCGAACTTGTCGATTTCATGCACACTTGCATTCGGGCAATAGCAGCACAAATATCTTCGCACCAGCCAGCCAGAAGTGGCACAAATCAGCCAAGTATTGGATGATGGTAAACTTGCGGCCTTTCGCCTGGGGCCTTTCGCCGGACACCCCTGTCATACTCCGTACTCGGTTCTCTCATCCCAGCGGCCACGGTAGACACCACCAAGCAGCTTCAGCAGACATTTTCACCCAACACATCACAGTGCAGCATTGGTGGAATGTTCTTGGGACTTGTGTGTTGTTTTTATCAAAACAGATTCTAAGGGCACGCAAGTTTGGAGGACAACCAAAAGGCTGACATACGAGCTCCGGTGTTGCCGGATCGACATTGCGAGCCGGACAAAGTGCAAATCGTTCCGTTGATTAAGCACCCCAGCATCGCAGCGGCTATGATGGTGCTCCCAGCAGTGTCCAGCAGAACGTCAAACTCGTTGCAATTGCTCGTGTACTACCTAAGACTATTGCCCACGGTGCGGTGGCTTCAAGGGCCGCCGCCTTTGCTCCATGTCCAGCATTCTCACCCAGCGTGTCAACAGCCACATCTACGCCGCCTGCGACACTCTTTAAGAAACCAGGTGCACCACCACCATGTTCACGTGTGAACACATCAACACAACCGCCGCCGCAAAACATCCAGTTGACTACTCACACCAACTCGCAGCTCTCACCCAGGCTGGATGCAGCTCCACAACTCTTTCCGTCACAGCACTGACCACATCAGAAACGGTTCACACTGTTGTGGTCTAACGACACCCGTCGTCAGTTCATGTCGCGCGGCTTCAAGCCGTACCCCGCGGCCGTCAGATCTAAGTTCGGACACAGGGGGACTCAGGCGGAACCTCCGCGCTGCACTCCCGCAGGGCCTGAGCAAAACCTCGGAAGAATATTGTTGGACATCGGCGCATCGTGCTCAATGCTAAATTTTGGTAAGATTCATCTCACCGCAGATCGCTCTTGCATCGATTTTTGGATTGGAAGAACAGTTAGGTCCACAGATTTGGGGAATGCCGGTTTGCTCATGTGAATGTTCGGACCAAAAGCAAGGTGATGGCCATGAGTGCCTTGAACCAGCTCGCAGCTGCGTGCTTAGCATGCCGTAGGGCGTTATTGTTTGGAGAGTCGCCGATTGCAAAGGTCACTTTGCAGAAGGGCCACCAGATAGAGGAGGCCATCGCTTGCGACGAGACGTTTCGAGTGAATGTGAAAGTGTGACTGCACGCAAGTGCAAGCTTGGCCATTGGGGCAGACCGCCATATGATCATACATAAATGAAATAACGAGTGTTAATAATATCGGAGCAAACTAAAGCATGGCTGTCTGTCATCAGCAAACTGCAGGGATTCACCAAGAGGTTGAATGAAAACGACTCGCATTGAATACTCGGCCTCTTGCGAGACAACTTGGGCTTAAGATCAAGGCTGTCCGGCCTTGGTCGGCATTTGCTGTTCCACCATGTGCCGAAGGCCAATAGGGGGAAACACACCGCGACAGGCCAATAGCGCACGCGCCCCGAAGAAGGCGAGACTGCGCAAATCCACGCCGACAAAGCAGGAACACTCAGGGAAGGAAAAGTCAAAACATGTCTTAAATCATGCCGCCGCATGCAACCAAGGGAGGAGGACAGCCATAGCAGAGGA